GTGGTATTTGCTGGAATGAGTGGGGTTGCACAAGCAGTACAACCAGTGTGAATTGGGTTACTTCTAGAATACAATGAAATGCTGGAGATTATCCACTTTGATGAGCCTTTGATGATGTTCTTGGGTTGGAGAACACTAATTTTGAATGAAAGTTGGCGAACACTATCTTGGGGTGTATCAGCAATGGGCTGGTGATAGAAGAATAATAATGGGCAGTACTTTTCAACGTCTTCATCAGTTATTTGGATGAGGTGATAAATGGGGAACTCCTCAAATCTGCAGATGACGCCAAGCTGGCAGGAATAGCCAACACTCCAGAAGATAGGCTTAAGATACAGAAGGATTGTGACAGACTTGAACATTGGACTCTATCTAACAAAATGAAATTTAATGGTGAAAAAGTTTTCTACATTTAGGCAAGAAAAACCAGATGCACAGGCATACTGTGATACCCTGCTCAATAGTAGCAACTGTGAGAGGGATCTTGGAGTCCTAGTGGACAATCACTTAAATATGAGCCAGCAGTGTGCTGCAGCTGCCCAAAAAGCCAACACAGTGCATTAACAGAGGGATAGAATCAAGATCATGTGAAGTGTTAATACCACTTTATAATGCCTTGGTAAGACCACACTGGGAATACTGCAGCCAGTTTTGGTCACTGAAATGTAAAAAAGATGTTGAGACTCTAGAAAGAGTGCAGAGAAGAGCAACAAAGGTGATCAGGGGACTGGAAGCTAAAACATATAAGAAACGGTTGCTGGAATTGGGTATGTCTAGTTTAATGAAGAGAAGGACAAGGGGGGACAAGATAGCAGTGTTCCAATATCTCAGGGGCTGCCACATAGAAGAGGGAGTCAAGCTATTCTCCAAAGTACCTGAAGGCAGGACAAGAAGCAATAGATTGAAACTAATCAAAGAGAGAAGCAACCTAGAACTAAGGAGAAATGTCCTAACAGTTCGAACAATTAGTCAGTGGAACAACTTGCCTCCAGAAGTTGTGAATACTCAAACACTGGAAGTTTTTAAGAAGAGATTGAACAACCATTTTTCTGAAATGTTATAGGGTTTGCTGCCTGAGCAGCGGGTTGGACTAGAAGACCTCCAAGGTTCCTTCCAATTCTGTTATTCTGTTATTCTGTCTATTCTTGCACTTGGGAAGCAGCCACGGTGGCAAGGAAGTTCTGCCCTAGAACAAAACTTCAACAAAGCCAGTAGCGATCTTAAAAAAACATTAACAGCATATACATATGTATATGCACACAGATATATACCAGCAAGTTTCTTTACCTGTTCAGCAAATGTTTGCTTACTGTATCACAACATTGTATGGCACTATTTCACTTCCAGAGATGAAGTGAGTAGGCTACTTAGCTTTCTGGTTAAGGTATGTACTGAAGTTATTAAATTTTATACACTTCACTGGATGGGCTACATAGCAGATTTCAACTTCCACTGAGAATATTCCATAGTTTAATATTTTAGTGCCTCAGGTTTCTATGCTCCATTAATCCTGTGGCATAGTTTGATAAAGTTAATCACTTTTATAAAAGAATTTCAGGTGGCGCATAGCTTATCGAAGGGACTGCAGCATTTTGCTAACTGCACTATGAAAGTGATGAAAATGTTGCATTATACAGTTTTAAATACATATACTCTGCTTTACCTAGTTGATTACATTTACCCAAATTATTAGTAGAAGAGAAGGAACGTTTGATTGAGATGGGACTATTTTCAGTCTCTGGCAGCTGTCTTTTGTTAGTCACTTTACATTTAGCAGAATTAGAAACTTTCTCATATTTGTTTCTAAAGCATGCATAATTGTATCCAAGCACTAAAGTCACTGGTTGAAAAGCCTGTTCTCCTATCCAATTTACTGAGGAATAACATGAAGTTTAACTAACCCCTTTGCTGTTACTAAAGGTATATTTACAAACATAAACCAAATTAAAACAGTAGTCTTCCTTCCAGGGGCTCTTCTTCTCTTCAGTTTGGAATCAATTCAATTTTATTTTTGATTATAAACATCATAATTGCCATATTGCTGTTTTGGAGGATGTGAAATACATAATAATTATATAATATGAAAAAATATTATTTAAAATTTTTATATTTGTTTATTATTTAAAATATTTATATTATATTATGTAAAAATAACACTCTGCTATTCTGAAATCTAGTTTGATCAGAAAAGGGGTAAAATTCTCACACAAAAATCCATAATTAGAAATAACATTTCTTTCTCCTCCAGATAATTTGTTAGATACTAATTAACCATTTCATGAATGGAAGTGCTGTTTGGAAATCACTGAAAAATCACTAGAATCAACATTGTCTCCCTACTATGCAAAATAAGCCAAGACATCATTTTAGCCAATTTTTACATATTCCATTCAACTGCCTGCATTATCTCACCCAGTTACTAAGATTTGTTTATCATTAATTTAACATGCATGGTTATATCTCTGATTTAGCAGTTGTTATTAGACAATATGAATTTGTTCATTTCTTATTAATAAACTATTTCTCCAAATGATTACTTACTCAAATGTGTTAGTAGTTCTTAATTTATTTCATGTCTTCAGTAATTGCATAATTATGCATGTTTTGAATCAGAACATTATGCTGTTTTTGTCGTAGTCTGTGGGGCCTTATTAGAAAGAAAGCGCTGGGCCCATCCACCTGGTGTTTTCATTATGTGGTAGATTCAAAACATGCTCCCATGAGGTTTTTTTTTAATATATCTTGTTTCTGGTGAAAAATGCACAAGAGGTTTAGTAGTAATATATGTTCTATTTTTGTAGTTTTGCTCACCATCCTCTTCTCCTTCGTTTTCTTCTCCTTTCTGTGTCCCACTGGAATGGTTACTAGTGGAATGCAAACAGCAACTGTCCAATGCAGACCACAGCAAAATTTTCTAACAATCCTAGGCAGTTTGAAAGATTCCTACATGGAACCATTGTCATCTTAAGTAATTGCTCACTTAACTACAAAATGTTTTTCAATCCTTGGGCAGACAGTTTAGATACAATATAAAAAGTACTCTAAGAAGAATGCTGGAAATGTTAAATGTACAGGCCTGGAGAGATTTTGTAAACGGTTTCTTTATTGTCTGTGTTTTAAGCTATGCACCATTCAATTATAAAGATTTAACGTTAGAAACCTGTGTGAATGTATATAGATACATTTACAATATAGCTGAGAATGAGATTCTCTTCTTACATTGTGTCTTTCAGAGAGTAATTTTCAATATTGTCAACTTCAGTAAAACAAAGAGCCTCTATCGAGATGGAATGGCTCCAATGGTAAAGTCCACAAGCAGGCCTAAATGGTAAGTTAACACTCAATGAATATTGTCTTTACGGAGCAACCTTTGGCTATGATATTTTGGAATCATTCCTTTTTCTTTATGGGGTTCATTAAGATCTGGTCATCTTTATTTTCTTTATATGTACTTCACTGTTTTCCTTCTAAAGCAGCATTTGTTCTGATAGCATGGTTCACTAACCTTGTGAACGAGTCAGTGTTAGTATTTGGCTCTAGCAAGGATGAGTGATCTCCCTGTCACACTTTCATAGCATTTCACTGGATAGTCAGCTCAATTGAATGCTAAAGGATGGATCACTGTAATGTTAACCATTTTTTTTTACTATGCTTATATAGGGCAATTCAAATGATAAATAGAACTGTGTGGTAGACATAGGTTCTTTTACACATGCAAAATAAAGCAAGACAAGTAGATCGTAACATATTCTTAAATCAGTCTGTTTGTATTGAGAATGAGAACCAAAAGCTATATCACCTGGTCTATTTGGATACAGTTAGCAATTTTGTTTTGTTTTATTCTCCTATGAAACAATGTTTGTGATTTGTTGTATCAATCAGTATGTTGTTACAGCTGCAGGTATGTGAAATATTATTCTCTTCTATTTACTCAGATCTTGTATGAGACAGTTTCAAGTCCAATTACGCATAGATAATATTAAGCAAATGTGTGTCACCTTCTGACCTCTCTGTTCCTATAGCATGTCTTAATATTTCCCAATTAACTTTAGAATTCACTAATATTCCTTATTATGCTATTTATGAGGTTCCATATTGAAATATAAATCTATATAAACCATGTGGAAAAGACCCTGAAACTAGGAAACGAAAACTCAGCCTTTTCCAGTATATTTAAAAGTGACATTCTTACATCTTTTGTTCAGTAACATGTATTTCCAAGTTGTTCATATGTATACCAGAATATATTTTTGAAAACAATAAATAAATGAGGCAGAAATTCTGTGCCAACGATAGTCACTTTTCATTTTATTTTCCTCCTATTTATCCAGTATGTATAAGTAAAAGCAGTAGAAACACCCTCTTATTCAGACTAATTATTACATCAAATAACACAGGATTTAAAATATTGAAAGGGAAAATAAAACAAATAATAAGTAAAGTAGAATAAAAATATAAAACTAAATACATAAAAATAGTTTTTGGCCATTGTGCTTGGTGGAATGTAATATATGTTATTGACACATCATACAGGTTTTTATCTTTGCACCAGAAAGGTTATGCTCCATTAAATGTTAAGAAAACAACTACTTTCCATAGTAACTTTATCACTCTTTATGTGTGTTTGTATACTATACTATATCTCACTTTTTCATTTAAAAACTTAGGATAACTTATAGGTGTTTATCCTGCCTAGCAATGTCCTGTTTAGATATCATAGATAATTTTATTTATTAAACTTCTGCAGTTGTATCCCAAAATAAATTTTTCTTTCAGGAAATTGATACACATCCCTGAAGAAGAAATCATTCTGTAATAGAAACCAAGCAGTCATAGTTAATGAGCAGCTTTTTTTCATTTATTGCATAGAAAAATTTCAGATGAACAGTGTTTTTGTCATTAAAAGTATTGTATCTACACATTGATTTTCTCATTTCCAAACCATTATTGGTCCTTATCTTGTGACTAGTCTGCATTATTTACATATTATTTAAATACACTTTTACTTATAAAATTAATTTAGGCAAAATACTCTGCTTCTTTAAAAATAAAAGATAGCTATAGTGACACGTACTCACTATAAATGGATAGTTAAATGCATTGGGATCAAAGTGTCTTGCTTTTTACTAATCTACCTCTGTATAGAGGCATCAGTTCCTTAGTTGGACCCAACTAGGTGTCTGGCAGAGATGGCTTTAACTTCTTTACCCCTTACTTAAGTTCAGATCAGTGATCACCATAAGAGTAATCAGAGCATAACAGAGGAACCAAGAGTTCCTTTACTTGCCAGTCATTAATTCTATTCAAAATTCAATTACATTTGTTGGCACGTATTGATTAACTTTGGAAATATTTCAAACATAGTGTATCACAGAGTGTTAAAGCAGGGTAATATTGAGTTTGTCTCTCACCCCATCTTCTTTTTAAGGGCTAGGCTGATGTTCATGCAGCCAAATTCCAATCAATACAGTAAAATGTACAACAATATAATAATACAGTAAATTGAGTCTGATATCAGCGACTCCAGATTTAATTTCAAAAGGCTGTCCTGAACTGCTTTACAACTTTCTGGAAGGCCATAAGACTGGGGGCCATTCTAGTCTTGAAGAGTAAGGTATTCCACAATAGGGAAGCTTACACAGAATGCCACCATTGGGCCTCCTTGTGTTGCAACTCCTGAGAGATAAGGACCTTGAGCCGTCAATCTGGAAAAGTCAGCCTTTTAAGTACTGCATCCTTAAGCCATTGGGTATCTGAGCAATCAGTATCTTGAATTGCACTTGGAAATGTTCTGGTAACCAAGCCATTCCTGTTGTAACAGGTGTAACATGGCACTATTGATACTGATCAATAAGAATGTATTCTCATCACTGAACCCAGTCTTCCCCATCACCAGATTTCCACTTCTCTCTTAATGAAAATACTGGTAGTCCTCGACTTATGGCCATCACTGAGCCCAGCATTTATGTTGCTAAGTGAGAAATTTGTTAAGTGAATTTTATCCCATTTTACGACTTTTCTTGCCACATTTGTTAAGTGAATCACTGCAGTTATTAAATTAGTAACACAGTTATTAAGTGAATCTGGCTTCCCCATTGATTTTGCTTGTCAGACAGTCGCAAAAGATAATCACATGATCCCAGGACACTGCAACTGTCATAAATATATGAACCAGTTGTCAAGCACCTGAATGTAAATCACATGACCACAGGGATGCTGCAACAGTCATAAGTGTAAAAAATGGTCATAAGTCATTTTTCAGTGTCGTTGTAACTTTGAACAGTCACTAAATGAACTGTTGTAAGTCAAGGAGTACCTGTAGCTTGCTTATCTTAAAAAGAAGTGTTTTCTAGTAGTGAATTTATTATAAGCTATTCTTGAACTTTGGAAAAGGTTGGGGCTACATTTGTAATTGCAACAAGATTTCTGAATTTTGGAAGCCTTCATCTTAAGCATCATTCTTTTTTGTATAGCACAGACCACAGCAGACTACTGATATGCTTGTGCACATCTGCATTGCCATCCCCGTGATTCTACAAGGTTGTGCAAATTTTAAAAAGTGAAGCAAAAATGACTTGTTCAGTGGGAAATGTTTTCTAAAGTCAGCAATATCATCCCTAGGTACTATAACTTTATATTCAGTAAGAGTTTTTCTCAGTAGAGACATTAGCCTTCAAGTTGTGCTTATCTTTCAAAAGCAACAACTGGCTACTTATCATTTAAATTATCCCAACAGAGATCATATGAAGAACTCTAATTAGCACCTATAGAATAGTAGCTTTTCCTTATGGAATAATCATTGTAGTAGACAAAATATCTTAATAGCAGTAGTAGACATTTTACATTTTACATTACATTACAAAAAAGAAGCAGGGAACTATAGATAACTCCCTGTAATAATGATTTGCTACAGAAATGGGTTTCCTTTCTGTGCATGATGATGTGATTCACTATTGTTATCAGGACAAACATCAGTGACTGAAATATTCTGAGCTCACAAGATGCAAGCCAGGTTTTAGTTTGTTCCAGAGCAGTTCTGTTTGGATCCCAAAATAGATCCAGAAACTAAAACAATAGAATCAGGTAACAGAAGCTCTGTGGTTCAGTAAACATAATTTGTTTTATATATTAGTCAATTGTCCTATTACCATTGCTGAAATGTTGCGATATCTGGGTGTATGTTGGGCCACCAATGACCTCTATCAATAGTAGAGATTGCTGCATAAAACTGTTAAGTATAGACTGAGGTTAGAGTTATGCTTTCTGTTGCTTAGAAGCAGATTATTAAAATTCTACTGAATTTATGACTGGTCATTGCTTAATCATCTGCAGAGATAATCAAACCTGCCAGTGAAAGTGAAATTATGTGAACATTGTGCTTTACTTATTTTCCCAATTTTACACTGGTCCCTTTCCCAAAGGAGAATCTAGCCATTGTTGCCTCAATATAAAAGGGTATTATTGTAATCTCTCTTTTGTCAAATCCAAATGAGATCTTTAAACTGCAAGTAGCTAGTTGAATTTCACTCTAGAAAGAGGAAAATCTTAGAAGTGTCATTATTCCATTAATGTGGGACATATTATTTATTTCTTATCCAGGCCCCCCAACTCTAATTCCTAAAGACTTTAATCTTTTAGGAGTTGAGGCTCTAGGTAAGAAATTTGCACTGCCTCATATGCACATGTCTGTGTGCATATGTGCATGTATCTGTAATTATATTTTTATTTTATATTAGGGTAGCCATAGTAAAATTGTCACTGGCATTTCTTGTTTTTATTTCACTTGGTAGAATTCCTGTTAAAGTACGATTTGTCTTTGTGGTCAAGTTCTACTCTGACATCTATTGCCTGTATAGCAATATTATTGCTGTAGTATTTTTTTTTCCCTATAGTATCTTGGATGGTGGAGAGTTTCCTGTGGAGTAACTTAGATGCTAATTTCTATAGATGTTTCTAAACTTGTTTTTTCTTCACATCGGATGGGTTATTGTTTGCATTTTATTTGATAGATTTATAGAAAACCAATATGGATATAAAGACCTGTATTTCTTCATGCTTTATTGATCAGGAGAGGGCAAAGCTGTTTAGATAGCTTTGGAATTTTGATTAGCCATAAACTGCTGGTTTCAGAGTTTCTTTCTTTTTCTGATACATTTGCAAGTTGTTAGCATGTATGTCTTCTGCCTTTGCACTCTGAAGAAAATATTATTTGAGATCAGTAGAGATTAACTGTCATTATATGTGGAAAATCAGATGAAAGCCAGAAATATGCATGACACCTTCTCCCCCAAAAAACCACTTATTGACTGAGAGTTGGGGGAAATAAAT